TGTGAAGGTCATCACAATTATCTCTCATGTTGTTGCACGGTTCAACTATACCCCATCGTATAGGAAAACTTGGATAGGTAGAATAAAAGCGGTGGAACATGTATATGGGAATTGGGAGCATTCTTACCATCAACTTCCACAGTATCTACTAGCACTTCAGAAATATGTTCCTGATACGGTTGTAATATTGGAGTCACTACCAGCATACACTCCTGAAGGAACATGTGTTGCTGGAAGTAGGATATTTTCTCGCCTCTTTTGGGCATTTCAACCATGTATCAAAGGTTTTGCGTTCTGCAAACCAGTTATACAAGTCGATGGAACATGGTTGTATGGAAAATACAAAGGAACATTGTTGATGGCGGTAGCACAAGACGGAAATAATAATATATTTCTGATTGCCTTTGCCCTGGTCGAGGGTGAGACAGGCGAAGCTTGGAGTTTCTTCCTCGGAAACCTCAAAACACATGTCGCACCACAACCCAACTTATGTCTGATTTCTGACATACATGCTTATATTGTGAGCGCCTACAACAATCCTGCTAATGGTTGGCACAACCCTCCTTCTGTCCATGTCTTCTGCATAAGACACATTGCTCAGAATTTTATGCGGGACATTAAAGACATAAACCTCCGTAAAAAAGTTGTGAACGCTGCGTATGCCTTAAACCAACCATCATTCATGTATTACCGAGAAGAAATAAGGTTGTCAAGCGCGGAAGCATTAAGGTGGGTGGATAATATTCCAGTCGAGAAATGGACTAGGTCATTTGATGGAGGGTGTAGATGGGGTCACATGACCACAAATCTTGTAGAATCCCTAAACGGCGTATTTAAGGGAACTAGGAACCTCCCCATCACAGCGTTGGTAAGGGCAACGTATTACAGATTGGGGTCACTATTTGCAGCAAGAGGCAAAAAATGGAGCGCTGTACTGCAATCAGGGCAAATATACAGCGAATCAAGCATGAAGTATATGAGGGATGAAACTTCTAAGGCGGCCTCACATCGAGTTAGACCATTTGATCGTCACGATTACAGCTTCATTGTTGATGAGACAATGGATCACAACGAGGGTCAGCCAATGGGACACTACAGGGTGGAACTTCATAAAAATTGGTGCGACTGCGGAAAGTTTCAAACCTTCCGCATGCCTTGTTCACATGTCATTGCCGCATGTTCAACTGCTCGTCAGGATCCATTCTTGCAGCTATCAAAAGTTTACAAGGTCGTCAACTTATTCGGTATCTACAGTAGCAGTTTTCCAGTGGTAGCTAGTGAGGACTACTGGCCAACCTATCATGGAGACACAATCTACCACAATGAAAATATGAGAAGAAACAAAAAGGGCCGCCCCAAAAGCACCCGAATCACAACTGAAATGGATACAGCTGAGAAAATGGAAAGACTGTGCGGAATATGTCGTCTTCCAGGGCATACGAGGAAAAACTGTCCAAATGTTGGAACAAGTTCTAGGTAGATTTAATTTGGTCTTTAAAATTTGTGTAATCCTGCAATTTAATATTTATATCAACTTTTCATTACCACAAAACCGAATTGAATTACTTCTACAGCATAAAACGCAAATCATTAAAATACAACGATTATTACAACATAACCTAAGATATAACAACAATCAAAGTAATATCATCAGTTCCGAACATCATAGACCTAACTTCGTTGTCATCTCTAATTCGCACCCAGTCACGCCGTATGTTTCCGTCTTCAACAGAGAAGTACGAGACAAATCTTTCAATACTCCTGATTCTTTGACCATTTGGAATGTCTCCTTCTAGCCACCGATTCAAATTTCTTCGTAGTTGTTCTAAACTCTGAATGTTCCAAAACAACATTCTTATCGGAGGCTTCGTCGGAGAAAAAATTACATGCCCATATCTTCTAAGGAACATGACTCACTCTTCTAAATTTGGATGAAACAATGTTAGCAACATGTCTACCTATTTATAAAAAAATTTTTGGAAAACTATAATATAATATTTTAATTATATTCATTATAATATATTTAAAAAATTAATTTCGTTTACAAGGAGGCTCCATAGGGGATGGCGCCCCCCTTTAGGGCATTTAAGGGAGGCTCCAATGGGTATGGCGCCCCCTTTATAATTTGTAGGGTGGCTCCAACCCCCATGGCGCCCCCATACAAGTTATAAGGGAGGCTCCATCCCCCATGGCGCCCCCTTGTAAAAGAAATTAAAAAAAAACTCAAACTAGGGTAGATTGAAAAATAAATTAGAATGATGGGTAGATTGGAAATATTTGTGTGAAAAGATGATTATTTGGGTGGAAAATTCTGAAATCTGAAAGCAACATAGTGATACATATTCCAGCTCACGTTTCCTTTTTTCCAATGCAAAATAAATTAAAAAAAGCACAAAGGTGTGTGACGTGTAAGATTTTGACAAGTAGTACTTTTGTGGGTCCAAAGTCCAAACCTACGCATAGTGATGCAGATGCACTATTCAATAAAGCAAAGAAAAAGGACCTTCTTTCTTTTTATATTTTGCATAGATTCATGGGATCCTAAGACCACATAACCAGACAAACAAAATAAACATATACTAGTACACTCAACTCAACCATGACTGTATTTTAAAATTTAAATAAATATTTATACTTAGGGATAAAAAGACTTAAAAATAACTACTAATTTTGATTAATTTGTTTTAGTAAAGAATGAGAAGTAATAAATTGAGTTCGACACGCCTGACATTTTTGTTTTGCTTATTATTTTAGTTTGCATCTTTTAAATGTTGACTCTATACCTTTTTGTGTAGAATTTTGTTTTGAGCATGGATAATAACATTTTTTTTAATTTTTATTTTAGCAGTACAAGACCCGCATTAACATGACAACTGTTAGGGGTGAAAAAATAGGCAATCCATCCCGTCTCATCCTCTTCAGTATTAAGTTTAAAAAAAAATTAAAAATGGACGGATAATTCATCAAATAAAAATGAATATAAAAATCTAGTTTGTTTCGGCGAACTTATCCGTCTATTTTCTTATTTATTTTTTAATAAATTTTAATTATATTTTTCACTTATTTTTTAATATAATTTTTATAAGTATATTTTAAACAAATTTTATTTTAAAAAATATTATATATATTTTTAAATAAATATATAAAATAAAACCATCAAAAATTAGAATTATTAGAATTAAAAAAAAAAGACGGGTTTAAGATAGGACAAATTAAATGAATAAGTGCGGCGGACTTTCACAGACGACGTTTTTTTAGCACGCGAACTTTAGCGGATGACAGTCTATAGTAGAACGGATTTTGGTGGACGGTGGATTCAAAATCACAACCTAATCCATCATTTTTTAACAGGTGTAAGAACCGATTCTTCAAATCATAATTTGTTTTGGCACTCCTAACAACCGTGTCTTATTCTATTTCTTTTACAAAAATGTGATTTAGTGTGTATTTAGTTTGGCCTCAACTTTTTCACATTAATTCAAAAATGTTAAATCTTCATGTTTATGTGAAAGATCTAATTTGCAGCTTTTGAAAAATCACTACAAAAGGTTGGACGTGAATTTGGAGGCTTAAAAGCCAAACGAAACATCATTCATTTAGTCTCACAGTCCAATTTATTATATTATTTTTTATAAAATTTTACAAAACAAGTTTAAATAAAACGAACTTGCCTCTTTATTACTCCTATCTATGATCTACTTCATCCTATAAACAAAAATACACAAAAGTTCACAGTTTTCTTAATACACATGTATTATTATTTATTAATTTATACTTCATCTACACATACAATTGATTTATTTTATTTTTTGATATAATATAATAATTTATTAAAATTTGAGTTTCTAATTAATATTATATGTATCTTTTCCCATTTGATATTTTTTATTTTTTATTTGATAAAAAAAATCACTTAAAATTCTTAAAATTTAGGTTTCATATTCAAATTCTAATGTCTCATTATCCGCTTTTGTCCTTCACTTTGTAATCCTAATAAATATGACTATACAATTACTCATTTAACTTCAAATATAAATAAAATACCAAATGTATTTTCATCCAAATTTAAATCAAATACATTTAATTTTTTTTATTAACAGACAAATCGATTTGTAACAAAAAAAAACTTTTTAAAAACAATTTACAATTTAAATTCAAATATAAAATTTTCAAAATATAAAAAATAAATATATAGGGTACCATCTTGTCAGTTTCAAGAGCCAAAGAAGAGTTATTTTACTTTCTCTCTCTACTCTTCTTCACTTTTTCACCTCTCTCTCTCAGATTCTCTATCATCTCATTTCACTTTTTCATCTTCTGTCATCTCATCTTCAGAAACTCATCTCCCATTGCTTCAGCTTTTTCTCCACAAAAACTTCTCACGCTTCAAAAGAACTTCTCCATTCTCACAAGGTAAAACCCTTCTCATCTTTCTTCACTCATTCACCATTTTTACTTCTTCAGCATTATTCAACAACCATTAAAAAAAACTATGTTTCCATTTTTACTTTTTTTTTTTTTTAAAGATTTTTACATGCAAACACTTGCGTCAGTATTTGGGTTTCTTGTGTACGTGTGAGTGTGTTTGGTGTGACTAGTGATAGTGTTTGGTACGGAAAGTATGCATTTTTTTTTGTTTTTATAATTTTATAGTTTTATAATTTCTGTTTTTAGTTTATCTTGTGCTGCATTATACTTGTAAGTTCATATGTTTAATTTTTGCTATTCATTTTGTTTTAATTTGTTAATTTCAGGTTGAATTATCAGATCTTGTGGCTTTAAAGAAAGCTTTTGGCTTTCTCCAACGTTCAAGCTTTGGAACACTGTAAAATCAGAGATCTAGGTTTGTTATTACGGTTAATTATGTTTAAGCTTTTAATAGTATTAATTTAACCATTTTTAATTTTTTTTCATTATGTTTAAGCTCTTTTTGATAAGTTGTGATGGTTAATTGAATGTGTTTATTATTGATTATTTAGGTGAATTTTTGAACTAAGAAAATGCAGAGGCCACCACCGGAAGATTTTCTGTTGAAAGAGACCAAACCTCATCTTGGAGGTGGAAAGGTTTCTGGTGATAAACTAACAAGTACTTATGATCTTGTTGAGCAAATGCTATACCTTTATGTAAGGGTTGTTAAAGCGAAGGATTTGCCTTCGAAGGATGTTACAGGAAGTTGCGATCCTTATGCAGAAGTTAAGCTTGGGAACTATAAAGGAACTACTCAGCATTTTGAGAAAAAGACGAATCCGGAATGGAATCAGGTTTTTGCTTTCTCGAAGGATCGGCTCCAGGCGTCGGTGCTTGAGGTTACTGTGAAGGATAAGGATGTTGTGAAGGATGATTTCATTGGTCGTGTGTGGTTTGATTTGAACGAGGTTCCGAAACGGGTTCCCCCGGATAGTCCGTTGGCGCCGCAGTGGTATAGGCTGGAGGATAGGAAGGGAGATAAGGTTAAGGGGGAGCTGATGCTGGCTGTTTGGATGGGTACGCAGGCTGATGAAGCGTTTCCCGAAGCTTGGCATTCGGATGCTGCGACTGTTAGTGGGACCGATGCGCTTGCGAATATTAGGTCTAAAGTTTATTTGTCTCCGAAGCTTTGGTATTTGAGAGTCAATGTGATCGAGGCACAAGACTTGCAACCAACTGATAAGGGTAGATATCCGGAGGTTTTCGTGAAGGCTATTTTGGGGAATCAAGCATTGAGGACTAGAATTTCTCAGAGTAGGAATATTAATCCATTGTGGAATGAAGATTTGATGTTTGTTGCTGCGGAACCGTTTGAGGAGCCGCTGATTTTGAGTGTGGAAGACAGAGTTGCTCCTAACAAAGAAGAAGTATTGGGGAGGTGTGCGATTCCATTGCAGTTTATGGATAGGAGACTAGATCACAAACCGGTGAATACTAGGTGGTTTAATCTTGAAAAACACATTGTTGTTGAAGGGGAGAAAAAGAAAGAGATTAAATTTGCTAGTAGGATTCACATGAGGGTTTGTCTAGAAGGTGGTTATCATGTTTTGGATGAATCAACTCACTACAGCAGTGATCTTCGCCCGACTGCGAAACAACTATGGAAATCTGGAATTGGTGTTCTTGAAGTTGGGATATTGAGTGCACATGGTTTGATGCCGATGAAAAATAAAGATGGGAGAGGGACAACAGATGCTTACTGTGTAGCGAAATACGGGCAGAAGTGGATCCGAACAAGGACAATCGTTGATAGCTTCATGCCGAGGTGGAATGAGCAATATACTTGGGAGGTATTTGATCCTTGCACTGTTATTACAATTGGTGTATTTGACAATTGTCATTTGCATGGTCCTGAAAAAGCTGGAGGGGCAAAAGATGCTAGAATCGGTAAGGTAAGGATCCGTCTTTCGACACTTGAGACTGATCGAGTTTACACACATTCCTATCCACTTCTAGTTCTTCACCCGAATGGTGTGAAGAAAATGGGTGAAATTCAATTAGCTGTGAGGTTCACTTGTTCGTCTTTGCTCAACATGATGCACATGTATTCACTACCTTTATTGCCGAAGATGCACTATATACACCCTTTGACCGTTAGCCAGCTCGACAGTTTGAGGCATCAAGCTACTCAGATTGTTTCAATGAGGCTAAGTCGCGCTGAGCCGCCACTGAGAAAGGAGGTAGTTGAGTATATGCTTGATGTCGGTTCTCACATGTGGAGTATGAGAAGAAGCAAGGCTAACTTCTTCAGAATCATGGGAGTATTGAGTGCACTTATCGCCGCAGGAAAATGGTTTGATCAAATTTGCAATTGGAAAAATCCCATTACAACCGTTCTGATTCATATCTTGTTTATAATATTGGTCATGTATCCTGAACTTATCTTACCTACAGTTTTCCTTTACCTCTTCCTGATTGGAATTTGGCACTACAGATGGAGGCCAAGACACCCTCCTAACATGGATACTCGACTCTCTCACGCCGACTCGGCTCATCCTGATGAACTCGACGAAGAGTTCGACACATTCCCAACTTCGCGGCCTTCTGACGTTGTGCGGATGCGATATGATCGTCTCAGAAGCATTGCTGGTCGTATACAGACTGTGGTTGGTGACTTGGCTACTCAAGGGGAAAGGCTGCAGTCCTTGCTGAGCTGGCGTGATCCGAGAGCTACTGCCCTGTTTGTGATTTTCTGTCTGCTTGCTGCTACTATACTTTATGTAACTCCATTCCAAGTCGTGGCCCTCCTGGCTGGAATTTATGTGCTGAGACACCCGAGGTTCCGTCAAAAGCTTCCTTCTGTGCCGCTTAATTTCTTCAGGAGGCTGCCTGCAAGAACTGACTGCATGCTTTGAAGTTTGAATCCTCAACAAAGGACAGTGCTGAGTGGAGATTCATTATTCAGATTCAGGTTTTGATTTCTGGTTAGATGCATTATGCATTATTACTGTCATTATGTCATAGGATTTTATGCTTTGGTTTTTGAACTTCATAGTATATCTGTAAGTTTGTAGGTTTGAGCTGAATTAATTTCATGGTTAATTAGGTTTAGAGTTTTTCTCAATGGGGATTAGTTTGAATTGTATTAGTGGTGGTGGTAATTTCTGTTTAATATTTCTTTTAACCTGTTGGTTAAGGCGTTTATTTTTGTTAAATGATGCATTTCATTTTAAAATATGTTACTATGTTCGGATTGGTAGAGAGATTCGTGAAAAGACGATGGTATACTACTATATAGCATGACACCTTTGAAAGGTGTTGAAACCGATACAGTTATTTTTGAATTATTAGTGATTCCAATGTGTTAGGGTCGGAGTCGTGTTTCATGTGCTTTATACTGTCATGGTTTTAGAAAAATAACACTTAAGATTCAATAAAATTGATGTCTCAAAATTTGCATATAATAAATAGTGATCATTGTGTGAAGTTTTGAATTTAATTAATAACATGTTTGATGAATGCATGTGGTGTTACCGTTTTATGTGGGAGATTATTTTACTGAGGTAGATTATTTATATCAAGTTGCATTTGTTTTTGCTTGGATTGGATTTGGAGTTTAGGAGCAAATATTCCAAGATCGACAGACATAGATTGTTGCAGCAATAAGTGATTTTTTAATGGCATTGTAATTTATATATTTTTTTAGACTTTTGTTTGTTTGTTTGAAGAACTGATAATATTGGTTTATGGACTGATAAAATTGTGACGTATTGAAATGAAGCATTTGATTCTGCTTCCAAATCTCAAATCTTTTGTAGTTTACGAGTAAAAAAAGGGGAAGCTTCTGTTCTGAGATATGGGAGAAACATTTCGCAATGATCACATTGATATGATACATTTTTGCATGATTTCTCTATTAGAGCATTCAAAATTGATTATACAGTCATTACATCAATTTCACAATACATATATCATTCAAGTAATTTCTTTAGTAGAGCATTCAGAATTGATTATACAGTCATTACATCAATTTCACAATACATATATCATTCAAGTAATTTATCACAACACAATTTTACATTATCACATCCAACCCTCTATTGCACAAAAAGATTTAAGAATCCATGAAACCGTAACCAATATGAAAAATTAGACACCCTATTTATCTCGATTTATTATACACAAAACCCAATTGAAATCCTTACCTTTGATTTGAGCTTTACCACCAAAGAAGATTTTCGAAATATGAAAAAGTGTTCATACTAAAAAATATGACACTACATCAATTAAAAAAAATGACACTTCAAGAGAAGACATTTTGGGAAATGTCTTGAGAGAATCACATAGGATTAAGATATTTGTAGTTGAAATGATGTCAAAACAATGTTGTTAGTGGGAAATATCTTTAATCGAGCAGAAGGTTCTAAGACCTTTAGAGCAAACATAAACCATTCCTAAAAAACACATGATTGAAGCAAAAAGCTTAAGGAGAATAAAGGGTAGCGAAAACCATAGCATGACCCCTATAAGGATATAGGAGGTCAAATTAAGGTACACAAACATTTTTTAAAAATTTTATATTTCTCATTTTTGACTGACTTGGGCGTCAAAATGTGTGCATGTAATAAGAAAGAGTCTGATCATTAAGTTGATGGCATTTACAACCTGACTATTTCTAGAAGAAACTTAAGAAACTTCTTTGTCAGAAGAAACATTGACACCATATGTGGGGGAAGGTAGATAAATATCTCAATCATTTTCTCAAAATACTCAAATGGCAAACCATGGAAGGACACTACTTTGTAACCTTAATCGTCCATGAATTGTGGCAAGCAATATCGTACGAGCAAGTCCATGTCAAGAGGAAGGCCACATCGCTCGTCATCTGGTTAAAGAATCAGGTCTAACAACCTTAGGTGCTCGAGGCTTTTGCACCCCTTATGAGGGACGAAGAGAATCATGTTGATGGTTAACCAATTTAAAATTCAGTCATTTTTCTTATACTTTGATAAATTTATGATACTGTGGTTTTAATGTTATAAGATGGAGTAAGCAAACTAATTTTAGATATTATTTAGTGGAGATACAATTAAAACAAAGTAAAATGAAGAAAGAAATTGTGGTTTTAAAGTGATAAGCCTTAACTGAATATCACCATAAAAAAATTGGTTTCTTTAAAAGATCAAAACACGGTCCAATTTAGAGAATCAAACGAGTAAAACTCTCAAAATTACACGAAGTGTTTGTTTAACATGATTCAACATGATTTTCTATTCATGATTAACTCCTTATTTATAGGTATAAGGTAACTTGTTTAAATTACAATAATAACTTATGAAATGTTACAAATTCAGCCTATTATTCTATCAATAATGGCTTTGGGATGAAAGGCCACACACTAAAAGATGGTGGAGAAAGTGGATATTCATTGCCTTAATGAATAATAGCAATTTATAACCACTTTGATAATTACAACCTCTCTCTCTCTCTCTCTCTCTCTCTCTCTCTCTCTCTCTCTCTCTCTCTCTCTCTCTCTCTCTCTCTCTCTCTCTCTCTCTCTCTCTCTCTCTCTCTCTCTCTCTCTCTCTCTCTCTCTCTCTCATCATCCCATCCCTCTTGAAAATAATTCGACCTCGAATTGAGCTCATAATCACATACATAAAAAGTAGATAAATCATAAACATTGAAAGTAATACTTACACAATACTCACTAGGAAGTTCTTTTTTTTTCCAGGCATTGTAATTTATCTTAGAAAAACACGGTCCAATCCAGAGAACCAAATGAGTAAAACTCTCAAAATTACACAAGGTATTTGTTTAACAAGATTTAACATGATTTTCTATTCATGATTGTCACTACCGCGAAAATAAGGTGCCGACAAAACAGAAGAGTCGCCACCTTTCGTTATTTATCCCACAGAAAGGGAAAGGAAACGATCGGAAAAACCTGACGAATAGGTATAAGACAAGGTCATCGCAATCATGTCTGGGTTCGGGAGTCGGTTACGCAAGGGGAAGGTATTAACACCCCTCACGTCCATCGTACTCGATGGGATCCACGCTTGTTGTGTTTATCTAACGGGTTGGTTTATCTATCTACGCTAAAAGGTTGGTCTGAAAAGAAAAGAAAATGACTCGGCAGAACACAACAGTTCTATGCCTACGTATTCCTGTCTGGAACGAGAAATCAGAGTCCACGTAGTTCGCCTAACTACGGGTAAAAAAAAGGGAAGGTTGCTCGCCGAGATATCGCATCTCGTGCCTACGTACTTTCACACGGCGTGAAAGATCAGAGCAAACGTAGTTCGGGCCAACAAGAGACACATGTTTGTCTTTTTTTATCCGAGTAGGGTTAACAGACGGTTCCAGCAGTTAGTGTATGCAGCTTGCTCGACGGAGACTTAGGCGTTTACCGTTTGCGGTAGAACCGAGAGTTAACAAAACTCTCCTTATGAAAATGGTTTCCAAGGATTAAAGGTCCCAGAGGACAAAAAGATGTTTGATCTTTGTTTTCTGTCTTTTAAAGAAGAAATGTTTTTTATGGATGTTTGCAACTGATATCGCACTAGAGACTATGACCTGAGAGTGAATGCGTCGCATGTCACCCAAAGGGTGCCATAATAAACATCCAAGCTGTTGAAAAGAAACTCTCCAACAACCCTTTCTCAAGTAGCTTAAGGCTCGTAGCGTACGACATCAATTAACCTTTATTACTGTATTTTGATTTGTTTGAAGATGAGAAGAGAAAAGACGCACTAAAGGGGACTAATCCAATCCTAAAGTTGTCATGCAAAAGTGATCATATGATTGAGGTTAGGAGGGAACTACCTAATGTTATCATGCATGGTTAGAACCCTAATGTCTGTTATAACTTCTCTTGAACAAGAGGAATCAGAGTTCCTAAGGGAACATGGTAAAGGAAAACAACAGCAAAAGGAATAAACTGTAAAGAAAAGAATGTAAGTAAAATGCATGCAATGCAACAAATAAGCAGAAGGAGTCAAACTCAACTTCTAGAGCAGGCAAGCCAGAGGCAACACACAACACAGACAAGGGAGACAAGCTCAACCTTAAACCAGCAAGCAAAGCCAAACTATAACAGTCAAGCAGAGGGAGACAGACTCCACCTCTAATGCAGATAAGCAAAGGGAAAAACTCAACCTTTAGGATGCTTCTAGGCCTATAATCATCTACATGAGGCCTAGTCTAATGCAACACACCATACAGTCACACAAGCACAGCAAAGCAATCAGAAAATACAGCAGACAAAACAGCAGATAAGCAGCTCAACAGCAAAGCAGATTAACAGCAAAACAAACCAACAGTCTGTAATCAACTTCAAGTCTAAGCCATCTTCAAGAGAAGGAAATGAAAGCTCCATCTTCAAGCTTCAACAAGCTCCAACAAAAGAAAAGAGAGTTAACATCAAGATTATTGCATGATGATGGGAAGCATGATGGAAACCAAGGGAATCCATCATGGCACTCAACCATACATCTAAGATAGGCATCCTCAAAGGTTCTACCTTTTGTGGTATGCCAAACATCCTTCCAAAGGAGGGATGAGGCTTCCACATAGGGACTTTGCATCATAGGATGGGAATGGAAAGCAATCAAGGCAATCCATGTTTATTTGAAGAAAGAGAAATCAAAACTAAAGCTCTTCCTAAACCCTAATTGATTAAGCTACAAGAAAGCTACTAAAAGGAGGTCTAAACACCAAACCGAAACACCACAATCAAGCAAACAAAAGTCTCTATATATCTAAAACACTATCCAAAAGGAATGGAAAATTTATCTTATGCTATGGGCCACCATTGAAGTCATTCTAAAGGAGAAGTCATGTTAGAAGCATATTAAAACTAGCCTAAGTTTTAAATCTATTTAAAATACCAAAACTACTTCTAAAATCCTAT